CAAATTTACCATTGTTAACTTACCTACTATGCATATTATGGGGCAATTTAGCATAGCCAATATACCTAACTTGCACATAAGGTCATAGAGTCAAACAGCACAGAAACAGACCTTTCGGTCCAACTCGTCCGTGCCAACATCCCAATCTGATTTAGTCCCATTTGCTAGCATTTCGCCCATATTCCTCTAAACCCTTCCTATTCATACACCCATCCAGATGCTTTTTAAATGTTGTAATTGTACCTGCCTCCACTACTTCCTCTGACAGCTGTTCCAGACACACACCACTCTGTGTCCTTTTTTAAATTTTTCCCCTCTCACCTTAAATGTATACCCTCTAAACGTATACCCTCTAATTCTGGACTCCCCCACCTTAGGAAAAATACCTTGGCTGTTCATCCTATCCGTGCCCCTCACAATTTTATAAACTTCTATAAGGTCACTCCTCAGCCTCCAATATTCCAGGGAAAGGACAGTAGGAGGAAACTGGAACACCTGGCCGAAACCAATGCAGACTCCACACAGACAGTCACCCAAGGCTGGGTACCTGGTACTGTGAAGCTGTAGTGCTAATCACTGTGCCACCTTGCTGCCCTTTTTAGAACATGGCTATGCCTTTCTCCAATTAAAAATTGGTTAACATTTTATTTGTGAGCAATAATGTGTCATTTAGAAGGTTTTCTAGAGTAAGCAAAAGAGCAATTTTATTTCCTGCTAACCCTGAGAAAAATAACAAGACATGACATCAAGCATATGATCTTCATGCGCACGTGCACGCACATGCACACATGAGCACTCTCACTCATTCACTCACTCACGCTTTCCAGTATTAAAAGAAAGTTTGTCACCTGGCTTTTCTTTCTTAAGAGGTAGAGAGAGTCTTGTCAAGCCCATTCCAGTTTTGCTATCATAAATGCATCCCCTTCTCTTCTGCCAGAGTGTCTCGAAATAGCAATTTACTTGTATATTCATCCTTAATATATTCTCATGATGGTGGTGCAAAAACAGAGAAGAGTGAGTACCCTGTCAAGCTTTCCATAAACCAGTGGATCAACCCTGGTTCAAAGGCAAGTGTAGGAAGGTATGCCAGGTATAGCATCAGGCAAATGCTATAAATGAAGGATCAAGCTGGTGAAGCTACAACATATGATTACATACATACCAAGCATCCAATAGCAACAAGAAATAGACGGAGCTAAATGGTTCCTACACATTGGACCTAAGCTCTGTAGTCCTGCCAAAACCAGTCGTGAGTTGTGGTGCACAGTTAAAGAACTCTTTGGAGGAGCGTCTACAAATATTGTCATCCTCAATGATGGATGCTGTAAAGTCTGTCTGCTCTGACAATGTTACAGCAATCGTATTGATGACGTGCTCGAGAACTTGCCAAAGATGACGATGTGAAACATTTCCCAGCTATGTCCTGAACACAAAATCCAGGACATTTCAAACCCAACCAATTAAAGCCCCGTCAGTCTGCCCTTAATTATCAGTAAGGTGCTAGAAGGAATCATCAACAGAGTTATCAAGCAGGGTTTATTTTGTAATAGGCAGCTCACCGATGCTCAATTTCAGCCCTTCTAGGGACAATCAGCTCCTGACTGCAGTTTTGCCTTATTTCAGCCATGGACAAAAGAGCTGAACACCAGAGGAAGGTAAGAATGACTGTCCTTGACATCAGGCTACAGAATTAGAGACAATAGGAATCAGAAAGGGGTGAGGGAGAACCTTCTGTTGGTAGGAGACATGTGTGGCACTAAGGAAGATAACTATCATCATTGCAGGTCAACTGTCTCAGCCTCAGGTTACTTTCTAGAGTTGCTTAAAGTAATATGCTTGGCTCATCTTAAAATGGTTTATCAATGGCTTTCCCTCTTTTGTAAAGTTAGAAGTAATCCTTGTCCCCACATCGCAAAACCTGGATGATATCCAAGCTTGAGCTGACAAATAGCAAGTAATACTTGTGCCACACAAATGCCAGGCAATAACCATCTCCAACAAGACAGAATCTAACTCATCGTCCCTTGATATTCAATGGCATTGCCATCACTGAATTCCCCACTGTCAGTGTCCTGAAGGTTACCATTGACTAGAAACTGAACTGGACTAGCCATATAAAACAACTGGGGCTTCAAGAATAGACCCAAGGCGAGGAGTCCTGCAGTGAGTAACTAACTAACTCTTCAAAGTTTGTCTGCCCCATCTACAAGCCTCAAGTCAAGAGTGTAACGGAATGCTCCCTCCTTATCTGGAATAGTGGAGCTCCAGCAACCCTCAAAAGGTTTTACACCATCCAATACAAAACATCCCATTTGATTGACATCACATCCTCAAACATTCACTGATTTCTTTGCCGTCACACTGAAGCAACAGTGTAAAATATTTACAAGATGTACTATATAAAATCACCACGGTTACTTTAGACACCACCTTCCAAGTCCATGACCTCTACCATGGACAAGGGCAGCATATCCATGGGAACACCACAGGTTACCTGCCGAGACACTCCCTATCCTGACTTGGAAATATTTTGACGTTACTTCACTGTCACTGGATCAAAATCCTGTAATTCCTATCCTAACAGCAGTGTGTTTACCTACACCAAAATGACTGCAGTGATTCAAGAAGATAGCTTATTACCACTTCTCAAAGGCAACCAGGGATGCGCAATACATGTAGGCACAACCAGCAAAAAACAGATGCCCTGTACAGATGATTAATAAGGAATCTGGCTGGGTTAATTCCCTTGAGGAAAATATTAATTCAAGCTCAGGATGTCTTTTAACCAATTTTTTTTCATGAAACATGTGAGGTAAGGTATTGCCTATGGTCATTGGTGTGGTTTTGGTTCCTTTTATAAAACTATTATAGTCTACAGATACTATATCGGACAATAGGAATCAGGACCACTGTCCTGATTAGGACCAGATGAGGAAGGTGAACTGGCATCTCTCAATTGACTGCAACAAAGATGTAATAGTCTTTTGAGAATGTAGCCATACCTAATTTTTTTTTTAAAAAGTAGTTAACTAGTTCACCAAACCAAAAAATGATCCAATCACAATGTTTTATTGAATGCAAAGAAGAACAATTTTATTTCAGTGAGAAAAATGATATTGATGTGATGTCAAACACAGGCATAAACACAAGTACAAAGTTAGAAAAGCTATAGTGTTCAGAACAACAAAGATAAAAAAATCTGCAGTTTAAAGTCTTTAATGTGTCCTTGAGAGGTTGATTTTTAACTTGAATCTCCAGTTGATTATGGGTATGATTCAATGGCGGCCATAAATATTGTAGATATTTTTGTGTCCTTGGTGTTTGGATGTTTCTGTACAGTTTGCATTATCATTGGCTGTTTTGTCCTTTGAGAAACTGGGAGAGAGAGCGAGACTATCCCAGTTCCAGATGCAAATCAATTTCCTGTGCTTTGCCAAAGCAGTTGCTTGGCACACAGCTTGTTCGTGGAATCCTGCATCTGGGGCCATTGGTTTTGAAGCTGGATAATTGGAGGCAAGCCTTTCATCACTGAGAGGTTTCCTGGAGCTTGGTGTGACCCTGTGGTCAGGTGATCATTGTAGCCATCTTTTTAAGTTAATGTCTTTCTAAAATTGTTTTGGTCCTGTGAAAACCCAGGTATTAAAGTCAGATAATGGAATTTGAAAAATCAATAGTTCATACTTCAGCACTATTGTGACCATAGTTCAAATTTTATATTATCAGAACACTGTGATAAAATGTCAAAAGTCATATCCATGTATTTGAATATTATAAGTTATCTTTCTTCTCTATGCTTTACATTACAAACAAGTTAACACTTGAGCCATTTGCAACGGCACATACTAATCCACTCATTGGAATTGCTTTGTATTCTGATTGTTGTCCATTGCAGATATTTGAGCATAAAAGGATATTCCAATCAAGGAAGAGGACAAAGTGAACTGCAGTCTAGATTAGATTGCCAATTCCAGAAGTGAACAATAATTTTAAAGTTTTTGTAGTGTTTAGCGCAGCTGCCCTCTTAGCTGCTAGACATGTAGTTATATTAGAGTAAGCAGGACAATTAATTTTGAATGTGTGCACATGGGATCATGGGAACATAGGAGTAAGAGCAGGCCATCAACCCTCTTCAGGATGCTCCACCATTTTAGATTATTGTTTATAGTCTACCTCATCACCATATTTCTGTACTACTATTTTTTAAAATTCATTCCAGGATGTGGGCTTCTCCAGCTGTGCCAGCTTTTATTCCCCATCCCTAATTGCTTTTGAAAAAGTGATTGTGAGCTGCCTTCTTGATCCATTGTAGTTCCTTCGGTGTCGGTGCTCTCTCATTCCCTTGATCTCAATAGTATCTAGAAATTTATCAATCCCAGTCTGGAACTTAATGGCAAATTTATACCAAGAACTATAGTATAACTATATTCTGTAGCCACAAAATTCCATAGTCCCCTTGGATATTCCAAAGATTCAGTGAAGAAGTTCCTCCTCATCTCAGTCCTAATTACCTTGCCTTTTATTCTGAGAATGTGTCATCTGATTGTACACCCCACAGTCAGGATAAGCATCTTTTTTGCATCATACTCTTTAAGAATGTTGTATGGTTTTATGAGCTTGCCTCTGATTCTTCTAATCTCCAGAGATGCAAGCCTAGTCGCCTCAATTTCTCCTCATAGGACAATCCCACTATCATAGGAGTCAATCTGATGAACCTCTACTGCATTCCCTCTATGTGAAGTATATATGTTAGGGAAGGGAACCAAAACTGCATACAGTACGTCAGGTACAGTCTAACCAGTCTTCTATACAATTGAAACAAGACTTCTTTGCTACATTAACAAAATGAACCTTGATGAATTGAAAGATATGTGGTGAAACTTAGAACCTTATGAACTTGTTTGGATGTGTGCTTTCACAGTAGAATATTGATATCTGTTGTATGAAGTAATGAAGTTTTTATGAAGTAATCAAATTAAAATGTTCACCTTTTGCATGTATAGGAGCTACATCACAAACTCGGTCTAGAAGATAAACCCTATTTGCGCCGTTCCATGGCTTATAGTTTTCCAAATGATGATTTATTGAATATGTATCTGAGGACAATACACAAATATATCCCACCACCAAGCTCTGAAGATTTTCAGGTACATCACAGAATTTACAATATTACATGTGGTTTTCGCAAAGTAGCCATAATGATAGTATTTGCAACTACAAACATTTGAGTGGGGCTGTATCAAATCATAACTACAGTATATGCATTTTAAATGTTTGAGTTTACAGATCCTTTTTATTTGCTTTCCAAAAGGTTTTTGTCGTGCACGGATCATACACCTATCATCACTACTTGCAGGATGGCATAAATGATGGTGGATGGGGTTGTGCATACCGTACTTTACAAACCATTTTATCCTGGTACAACTATCAGGGGTACATCAATGTACCTATACCAACACATGAGAAGATCCAACAGGTTTGAGTAGCCTTTGAGTTATCAATATTTTTCTTTTTTTATCTATGCTTTTGGGAGTTGTTCAACAGGAATCCTAGAAAAGTACTATTTTATGCCACACATTTTCATTTAAATATTTATTTTTTCATTCGCCACAAAAGACAGCACAGTAATAATTTTAATTTCAAAGAAGAATTGGTTTGCTGTATGATTAGTGTCCTGGCAAATTGGAAAACTAGGGCTGTGGAGCACACTTTAAAACAAGTAGTAAAGTGAGATTTGGAAAATTAAGGACAAAGTACAATGCAGTAGTGAGGCATGTAGGTCCCACAACACTCAGGAAGTTCGCCACTATACAGGAGAAAGCAGCCCATCCAGCAACTGTAACGTTTACCCCTGTCACCAGTGATGCTAATAACAGTGTGTACCATCGTCAAGATGCACTGTAGCAACTCACCAACACTGCTCTGACAGCAACAACCTCAAACTTGGAATCGTGACTTCTCACAAGGAGTTTGTTGAAGTTTCATCTCTGACTGCTGGCCACAATTAGGACTGTCTGTATTCCACAAAAAGTTGGATTTGTACATCGTCAGAAATTCTCTTACTACTCTTTGATATAGTCAAGAGATTTTCAATCCTCCTCCTTGTCCAAATTTGATTGACAGGTTTCATCCACAAAGGTCTCATTGTGAGCTATACATTTCATATAATGAATTTTAACATCCAGGTTATTACTCTTTGGAAACCCTTTTCATGATGAGGCACATAGTCTCAACTATATTATTTAGAAATATATTTTGAATCCCTGACTGTTTCAATGTCAGGTGACTTTGGTGACCATTTTAAAGCGCCCCAGCTCATTCTTAACTTTTTTCTTGTCAGCTAAATCTGAGGTTTTTAGTATTTGATGGGATTTAAAAGTCTGTATTATATCATGATGATATTTACTAATGCTCTTCTAGGGAATGATATATATCACCTTCCTGGCCTGGCTGAAATGTGACTCCATTTCCACAGATATGTGAATTGCTTCTTAAAAGCAACTCAGTTGTATTAACCAGGAACGACACCTGGTATTGACCTAGGCACTGAGACCAACAACAGCAAACTAAACCCAATTGACTCTACAAATTCACCTTCCTAACACCAGGGGGCTTGTCCCAAAATTGGGAGAGCTGTTCCATAGCAACAACTTAATATATTCATACTCATTGAATCATGCATTAAAGACAATTTTCCAGACACCACCATCACCGTTCCTGGGTAGTTGCTATCCCTTTGGACTGACCTACCAGAAGTGGTGATGCAATCCGGAGATAGTTGCTCTGGAAGTCTTCAACATTTGACTGTGGATCTCCTGAAGTCACATCAATTCAAAGGTGGATAAGAAAACCTCTTGTTGGCTATCATCTACTGCAGCCACCTCAGCTGGTGCATGAGTACACCTGCATATTGAAGACAAATTACAGGAAGCACTGAGGGTGACAATGGCACAAAGTGTACTCTGGTTTGAGGGACTTCGATGTCCATCATCAAGAGTGACTCACTAGCACCACGACTGCTTGAGCTGGCTGAGTCCTAAAGGAAACTGCTGCTAAAAGCATTTTTGTCTTTCCTTTGTTCATTCATGGGATGTGGATGTCACTCGCTAAATCAGCATTTATTACTCATAGACCAGTATTTATTACCAATAGTCATAGAGAGTCCCAGTACAAAAACAAGCCCTTCAGCCCAGAGGTCCATCAAAAAAAACCTAATTATTCTAATCCCATTTTTCAACACTCAGCCCATAGTCTTGTATTCCCCGACATCACAAGTGCACGTCTAAATACTTCTTAAATGATATGAGGGATTCTGCCTCTACCACTGTACTAGGTAAGTTCCAGGTTCCCACTGCCCTCTAGGTGGGAAAGATTTTCCTCACATTTCTCAGTCATGCCCCCTCTCAATCGTTTCTGCCCTAAGGTAAACAACCCCAGTTTGTCCAATCTTCATAACTGAAACTGTCCAGCTCAGGCAACATCAGTGCTGTCATAACCCTCCTATAATGAATTCCAGAACTGCGCACACAATTGCCCTCAAGAAAAAAGTGGTAAACTGTCATCTTGGTTGTAGTATATTTTTATTTGGGTATTTAGATTCTAAATTAGGGGAAACTGATTTTAAGTTTAAATTATGTGGAGGTGATGTCTTTTGAAAGTCACAAAACCATTTTAGAATAGCGAGTTCAACTTAATTGCTGAGAAAGAATGTGACTTAAACGACAACCAAGGTATCTGTGAAGTTAATCAGTGAAATATTTATGAAGTTGAATTTGTACAGCTACAGAAAACAAATGTTCAGAGACCAAAATCAAGTTTCAGTTCAGAAGAACAGTTTGATCTCAGCAGAAGGGCAGTTGTGAAGCTTTCCACTTGGAAAGAAATCTTTAATTTTAGTACAAGGAAAAGAGCTGTAAAAGACCGTATGTTTCTCTTAAAATTTAGTGGAAAGAGTCAATATGTTAGTCTGTCATTTTGTGTCTCTGGGAGAAGCAATAAAGGAGAGAATCATTTCTGGTGAATGGGCAGAAAGTCCAAAAAGAAACGCTTGCAAGCTAGGCAATTGAGTAAGTTTAGATAGAAATGATTCTTTACTGGAACTGAATAACTGTAAAGCTATTACTTGGAAAAGGATTGACTGTTTTGTTGCTGTCTATGTTTCTAAACTGTCTCCTGCTTTTTCTTAATTGTCTTATGATATTTCGTTAGAAGAATGCCAGCAGTCTCATGTCTCTGTGTTCAGTGACTGACTGAAAAACCAATCTGCAAAACTAAAACAGTTTTGAGCAAGGTTTCACTCTTGAATCTGACTTGTCCAGTGTTACCATCAGCTGGCATCATCATAATGCATCATATGTTGTTTCAGAGGTAGTTCCAAGATTTGGAACAGAATATAGTTCCAAGTCAGGTTGGTGTGTGAATTGGAGGAGAATTTGTAGGTAGTGATGTTTTAATTCACCTGCTGCTTTTGTACTACGTGGTAGATGCTGCCTATTATTGCAAAGTGGTGTCCTTAAGACCTAAAACATTTGAAGAGGAGTAAGCCATTCAGCCCTTGAGCTTGCTCCACCACTCACTAGGATCATGGCTGAAATTCATCAAAGGTCCTCAGACAGCACTTTCTAAACCCCTGAACACTTCCATCTAGAAGGACAAGGGCAGCAGGTACACAGGAATACCATTACCTTCAAGTTCCTCTCCAAATTACTCGCCATCCTGACTTGGAAATATAACATTGTTCCTTCACTGTCGTTGGGTCAAAATCGTGGAATTCCCTCCATATTGGCATTGTGGGTCAACCTCAGCAGGTGGACTGCAGTGATTCAAGAAGGCAGCTCAGCTCCACCTTCTTAAGGGCAACTGGGGATGGGCAATAAATGCTGGCCAGCCAGCGGTGCCCACATCCCACAAATGAATTTTTTTGAAAAACCTATCACATCTGATGAACTGATCTATTCAGAAATTAATATGTTTTCACTTTCCCCTATCCATATAACTTTATTTAGTGCAAGTAATATGTAAGAACGAAAAACATGGATTCGCAGCTTTTCTATCTTTTTTAGATCTTCAACTAGCAGGTGACATTAACTTAATCAGCATTGTCTTGTTAGAAATATTTATTTTGTCCCTCTTGGGGAATAAATTAACTGCTTTTTTTTGTAATATGGCATATTCAAGTTCATATGTTATGACATCTTTGTACTAGATCAGACTTGCATCGTGGTAGATGCAGTTCTTCCTGAAGTAAATAGAGGCCAGCTACTAGTGCTTTTAGTTTATATTGAATCAGCAAAGTAAAACAGCACTGATGGCCAAACCCAATTCTGAGCTGTACGTTTTCTGCTATATTGTTTACATCTCTTTCAAAAATTGCCATTTAGTTAACTGCTTAACATTTGCATTTTTAGATGTTGGTAACTGCTGGAGATAAAGGCCCCGGTATTGTGGGATCAACAGATTGGATTGGGTCTTTTGAAATTCGGTCAGTATTAAATTCTTTTGGGATTACATCAAAGATCATGAACATTCGGTAAGGAAACCATACAAGTAAACTTTTCTATAAACTTACTTTTCACATTTATATTTGTGTCCTCATATTTTACTCGTCAGATTTGCCTTAAAGTGATTATCATTTAATATTTTATGAATCGCACTGAAAGCTTTGGCTAAATTGGAGTTTCTCTAATCAGATGTCATAACTAGTTGTCTTAATATTTCATGGTCATTTCTTCAGCTTGTTTTGAACTTTCCAGTGACCACAATTGAACTTTGTGTCTTTGTAAAAATCAGCTTATGGTAGTGCTGCTATGTCGCTGGAATAGTAATCCAGAGGTTTGAGCTAATGATCCAGAAAGTAGTTAAAATCTCACTGTGGAAGCTGAGAAGACGGCATCAGATAGATCTGAAACAAATGAGAAAAATGCTAGTATAGCAAATATGACCATGAAATTACTGGATTGTCAAGAAACCTCACCTGACTCACTGTTGAACTTTACAGACAGTACAGTACAGCCTCCTTTAATCTGACCTAGATGTGACTCCAGATGCACAGCAATGATGCTCAACTGTTCTCTAAAATAATCTAACACGCTACTCCATTGTAGTAAATTACTATCTAGAACAGTGATAATGATAAACCATATCAAACACCAGAAAAAACAAAAGCACACCAAGCACAGTCAAGCATTGTAGCAGTTATCTAATCCTTTCTGGCATAAAAACACAATAGTAAACATGGTCCAACCCTGACTAACAAAATAATTTAAGCATAGTACTACATCCAAAGAAGGGTCAAATGAAGTTGTTAGAAAGTCAGTCTCCACTCACATCATTTAGGACTGAGATATGGGACATTTCTTTACTTAGGGTGGTAAACCTACTGAATTCACTACCACTCCGTCTGAATCAGAGTATATTCATGGAGAGATTGACATTCTTTTAAGATATTAATGGCCTCAAGTGTAGGGGGAGAAATCGGGAACATGCTTTGGCGTAGAAGATCACCACGATCAGATTGAATGGTGGAACAGGCTCAAATCCTGTTCCTAGTTTCTATGTTTAAAAAGTAGCAAGCCAGAGGATTAAGAGTAGATAATAATTCAGCAAAGGAGGACCTTGAGGGGGTTTAAGTGGGGCAAAACAGCATGAGAGAGTAAACTTGTAAGAAACATAAAAGTAGACTATAAGTACTTCCATTAGTATGTGAAAAGAAAAAGATTAGTGAAACTAAAAGGAAATATTTGAACTTTTGCAGGTCAGGCTCTGAGATAGCTTTGGCAGCAAGGGAACTTGCAGAACATTTCGAGGTGCAAGGTACTCCAGTTATGGTTGGTAAGTTTGTGATTTCTTTGTTAAATTTTCATTACTTTTGAACTTTTATTTGAATACTGCAAAACAAATGTGTCAAGTAAATTATAAAACAAGACATGACTAATTATTTAAAGTAGTCTTGAAAAGAGCTGAATTTATCTTTTCTGATTTCTAACTTTTCATAACAGGTAGTTATTTTTAATCAGTCGTATATTTTAAATTAGATAAAAATTTAAGAAGGTATCTACACTGTACTTAAATGCAGAACAAAATCTACTGTTGTATGCAGTCTTACATTTGAATATTGATTCCTTAACATCTTTTCAGACTTTATTGATGTTATTGCTTTGCAAAACAGGTGGTGAACCTCTAGCCCATACTCTTCTGGGAGTGGCATGGAATGAAGAAACAGGAGCAGTAAGATACCTTGTCTTGGATGCACACTATACAGGAGAGGATGACTGGGCCAGCGTAATTGATAAAGTATGTATAGGAAAACGAGCAGCACAAAATATTTTTTTAACTGTAAAAATTAAACTGGGATTTCTGTGGAAAGCAAATTAGGTGCCAATGATGCTATTAAGTAATTTGGTAATGCTGAAATGATTTATCAATTCAAATTTTATTTTACCTTGGTGCCTTAAATGAGATTCCATCTCAGGAACAAGAACTGTTTTCAACTGATTTACATAGTCAATCCCGACCACGAGATTTTCATGCAGAGTGTTAATTCATACTTTAACGTTCTATTATTTTATTAGAATGAAAAATACTGCTTTATGTAGCTAGTGTTAAATTTTATACATCTGTCACAGAACATTTTCTTTAGAATTAGGATGGCTTTGATTAGTTAATCTCTACTTGCCAGGTTTTATTCAGAGTCTAAAAAAGAGAAAATGCTGAAAATACTCATCAAGTCATGCACCAAACAGAAGTAACATACATTGTCTTTCATTAGAATTTAAGTCTTTCACATGAAAGCTATCTGGTTCTGCTGCCACAATACTCGATCTGAAAGCAAAATATTGCAGTTGCTGAAAGTCTGTATTGAAAACAGAAAATTCTAGAAATACTCAGGAGGTCTGGCAACAGCTGTGGAGTGTCGACACAGTTGTTGTATAAGTTTGATTTCCTTGTATCAGGATTTGATTTCCAATTAGTTCTTGTATATGTACACTGAACTGTCAAATAAGGAATGTCCAAAACAAGGCCCAAAGACCAGACCAGGCTTTGGAGGTTTTGACTGGTTCTTTATTTATGCTTTCATGTACATATTTCTTTGGTTGTAACATTTGAACATTGTGAGTTTAATTTAAACCGTGAGACAGCAGTCAGTCCTGCAAATCTAGGAAGTTCAAGTATTGCAACTAATCAGAGAAAAAAAATAGCAGGTTTAAAGAGAAGGCTGAGGAGGAAAATGTAGACTTGAAAGGTCACTAATAAAGAGACAAAATTTTAAAGTGAAGGACAGAGGGTTTAGGGGGATTTTAGGAAAAATGTTTTCAACCTAAGGGTACTGGGAATCTCTTATGCAATGTCTAGAGAGTAGTAGCAAGAAACCTCAACCTTTTAAAAAGTATGAGGGTGGGCACTTGAAATGTCTTAACATTCAAGGCTACAGGCTGAGAGCTGAAAAATGGAATTAGTGTACATAGGTTGGCACAGATTTGATGGGCCAAGGGGCTTGTTCCATGCTGTATGACCGTCCAACATATTTGAACAGTTGTGTTGGTCGAATGTTCAGAGATTCAGTTATTGGAAGAATTTGTGACATTCAGACCAAGGTTGAATGCCTGAGTGCCTTCTCTATCCACATTCTATCTCCATATTCAAACTGCCATGTGAGAATGTCAAGGATGCAGTCAGGTGACAAGCCACAAGCTTCTACTCCAATTGCTAGTTCAGCTACAGAAAACATATCTTACAAATATGTTTCTACTGTGTGAATTCACTTTTGTTCTAAGTACCCATGTTATTTGTATTTCAGGCTATTGACTGGAAAGATGATGATTTCTGGGATCAACTGGAACCTTACAACCTATGCCTGCCACAGAGACCATGGGGTGTTTGAAGCCACCAGTACTTGAATACATATTTTTATAATGTTGTGCCTGGAAAGGAACGGAACGGAATTTTCAGATGATCAGAACGCTTATAAATCTTTGTTTTTCAAATCAAACAAGAATTTGATTGTTGCCATATGTACTTTATGTCGTACAGCAATAAAAACAGGAGCTAAATGTATCTTTACTACGTTTTAATTTTAAAAACTCCATATATAGGATGATCAAACTGTAAATATACTCTTTAACACTTAAGATTGTTACAAAAGATATGAAATCAGTACCTCTCTTCTTAACCCATTTGATTGGTCATAACAAAGATTTTTATTTCTTGTAAATGTGGTACTAGTCAAAATTAAGTAGACAATTACAAGGTTTCCTTGAGTGAAAGAAAGACAAATATTATTACTATCCTGAGAAGAAAATATGACATCAAACATGGGTATAAAGTTTTAAAAAAATGTCTAGCATAAAACAGAATAAAAATAATATGCAGTTGAAGCTTTTTAGTTGATGTTTTGTATCCTCAGCAGTACTGAAACTTGTAGAATCTTTGTGTTATTGTCAAATGGGTATTTCTATAATTTGTTTCATTGCTAGTGCTGGCTTTTGAGATGATGAGAAGGAAACCGGAAGTAAAAGAATCTTCTAGTCCTTGATGTTACCAATCAATTTTCTTTTGCTCAGCCAGAAAGTTCCTAAAATATAGTTTGTTTGTATTTTCCTCGTCATAGTGATATTGTATTTTCAATCAACCTGTTTAGATGTTTTGTGACACACCTCTGAAACAGATGGAACTTGAACTTGGGCCTTCAGGCTCAGAGGCAGGGACATTACCACTGTGCCACAAGCACTGTTCTTTCCAAGATGTATAGTTATAGATAACCTTTCATGTCCAAATATGCAATTAAACTAGGATTTTCTGTCAAAATTTCTTAGGTATATGTTGAGGTAAATCAGTCATAACTGTCTGAAGTCTCCAACTTAGAGGTGGATACTTTCTCAGATGGTCAAGGGAACAAAGGAATTGCCCTGTAAAAATTAAAACTTTTCAGGCACTTCCCACAAAGCTGGTGCGCCTGGACATCCAGAGTCCTGGCATTTGGTCATCCTTTAGTAAAGTGCAGTTTAGTAAACTGATCAAACTACTTATGGAATCACAAGCACTGTTGAAACTTAAGGAAGCTTTAAAGATGGAAGCAGAAATGAATACAAAAATGTTAAATTAGATTTTTGGTCCACTTATCAACTTGAATAAATATGAGGTGGGATGTTAGTCATCTAGATATATAATTTAAATTCTTCCAAACTGGATTCAAACAAGTAGATGTGGCTAAATAAATTTTGGACAATAACTCTAAGTATTAAAACAATTTCTTGCTGCTATTTGTGTTTGTGATCCTATTTTACATTTTATAGATTATTTACATTGATGTAGGAGAAAATTGTAACGTGGTCGACAAAAAAAAATTTAGCACTGTTTTGAAGTAGGTAGTTCTTGGCAAGGCAGCGATACTTTGGAAAATGTAGATGCTATGAAACAGCCAGCATGGCCTTAAGCTCCCACTTGCCACCTTTAGCCACAAATGAAACGCAAATATATGAATGTGAGAAAACAAGGTGTAGAGCTGGATGAACACAGCAGGCCAAGCAGCATCACAGCAGCCTGCTGTGTTCATCCACAAGCAGCATCACAGCAGCCTGCTGTGTTCATCCAGCTCTACACCTTGTTGTCTCGGATTTTCCAGCATCTGCAGTTCCTACTATATATGAATGTGATATAGGCCAAGATATTTTTGCTCACATCTTCTTTCTTTGAAGTATGTCGTAGCAGATCATTGGTCTTCTTTTCCCATTAAATGTATCTATCCCTCAATCGACGCCCGAAACAAAACTAACACAAGCGCAGTTCTGCTGGTGGTGGCGGCACATCATCCAGTTGATGGAGTAACGTTTATTTCCCTCTCAGCTGCTGATCTGTGCCAGTCCCCGGAACTTCCTTTTGCAGCTGAAGACGCCGGGGCGCTGTAATGATGCTACACCCGCAGCAAAACAATGGGGGCGGGCTTTTGGGCAGCCTAGCAACGGCAGCACGCGCGGTCTCCACAGCAACTGTCCCTCCCTGAGGACCGCCGGGGAAGGCAGACAAGCGGGGGCCACCGTGCGATAGGCGAGAGGCGCCCGGTGCAGGTGGGGGAGTAGGGCCTGGTGGTACCATTGCTGCCGCCGCGCTTCAACACTGAGAACGAAGATGTCGTGAAGCAAATATTAGTGTAGGGAGAATTATATATGTACACATTAATGTAGAGAAAATGACGTGCGTTAGTAGAAACTATAGTGTTGCAAGAGAAAATTGCTGTTTAAAAATGATATAAATGCAAGAAAAATGCTGAATGACTTGTACCTAAAATAAATAATGACATGTCCAGGGTACATTGGACGTTCCATAGGTGGTGCCCTAGGCAATATTTATCTCCTCCCAATCGGTCAACTATATAAGAGCATATTATCAGTTCGATCTCATGTTGTGGGAGCTTGCTGTGCACAATTTGTCTGTGTTTCATATACTAAAACCACGACTGCTTTTCAAAATTGAAGGTTTTTTTTTAAATTAATTTCACGTGTTGAGGGCATTGCTGGCTAAACCTGCATTTATTGCCCATCCCTAATTGCCCAGAGGGCAGTTAAGAGTCAACCACATTGCTTAGGTTCTGGAGTCACATGTAAGCCAGACCAGGTAAGGATGGTAATTTCCTTCTCTAAAGGACATTAGTGAACCGATGGGTTTTTCCCTGACAATCAGCAATAGATTCATGGTCACCATTAGACTCTTGATTCCAGAGATTTATTGAATTCAAATTCCACCATTTGCCATTTGGAATTCAAACCCAGACCCCAGAACATTACCTGGGTCTCCAGATTAACAGTCCAGTGTTAAGATCACTCATGCTATCACCTCCCCATCACCACATTCCTGGATGTAAGCCACTTTGGTCATTCCTGTACACAAGCAGTACTTGTTTTGGTTGAGTGATTGATTTAGACAGTATTGCAGATGATCATCATAACGGAACTTTGCAATAGATGACAAGTATCTGTAAGTCTGGAATATTTGTTTCTATCTTTAACTGACAATGCAGTGGAGGAGATTTCAAAAAGAATTTATATGACACCTTTCGTGATCACACGGCTTCCCAAAAGACTTTACAAGTTTAAGGTACTTTGGTACCTTTTGTAATGTATGGCTGTAACGTAAGAAAACAATGGTTAGTATGCCCACAGCAAATTCGCATAGCTAATTTTTTTGAGAGCTGGTTTGAGTCTTAATCACTGGCTCAGACACAAGTACTTCACTGCCGTTCTTAATATAATGCTCCAGTTAAACATAAATTCTAGAGGTGTTTCAGGTGCAAGAAAACAAACACCGATGCCAATGAACTCCAGGCACTTTCAAAAGGACCCTTTCCTCTCTCCAGAATTCACTGTAAAGTCATGAGGTATTAGGTGGCAGTTGCCAGCAGTTTTGGATGTTATTGGCTCATCATCATTATGACTAACTACTAGCTAAATATCAAATTAATTTTATGCATTGCCAGGCACAACTTGATTCTCTTCATTCTAAATGGGTTTTGTGTCTTTATGAAGCAGAAACTGCTGGCATTATCCTGGAACATTTGTGCCATTGTCATTTGATTTCTCACTAACTCATGGAAGATGGCATAAACCGTACACTTTACTCAAGTTAGTTGTAGAGTCTAAACTGTATAAACTGGATTTATTTAACTTTTGGAGCATACACAGAACAACAAATGACAATGGTAGACTGACTTCATCTTTTAAACTGCTTATCACTTAAATAATGTTAATATAAATTAGTCACTCAGCCATGCCATTTTTGTTATTTTTCTCAAGAATTAATTTCAATTTTTTCTTTCACTTTCAACACAACTGTCTTTCTGCTAGCTTCTCCAGCATTCTGCTTGTCCCACTCAAAAGACCTGAACTCAAAGATGTGGTTGGATGCTCCAGTGTAGTACTGTAGCATTTCTGAACTGTTGAGCATGCTGTCTTTCAGCCGAAGTGTTAAACCAAGGTTCCGTCTGCTGTCTTAAGTAGATAAAGATTCCATGGAACAAAAACAGAAGTTGCTGGAAAAGCTCAGCAGGTCTGGCAGCATCTGTGAAGAAAAACTCAGAGTTAACATTTCAGGTCCGGTGACCCTTCCTCAGAAAGATTCCGTGGAACTATTTGAACAAGAGCAGGCTAGCTATTCCTGATCTCCTAGCCAATATTTATCCCTCAACCAACTTCACTCAAAACAGCATAATTGGTCATCATTACATTACCATTTGTGGGACCTTCCTGTACTAAATTGGCTGCACGTTTACAAAATCACAGCTGTGACTCCACTTCATATATATGTCTGAAATAAGATAAATGTTGCCAAAGCTTTTCATCTTGCACTTGTTAGGACAAATATGAAAATGTCAAATTTCAAACAATCACAACAAAGTTTATTACAGAAGAAGAGGATGCCGATTGGTAAGTCAACTCTGATGATAATTCTGTACTGATAAATGACTTCAAAGGAGACCGTAATGTGCTTTGGCTTGTCCTGAGGTTGTGAAAGTTGCAATTTAAATGCCATCTTATATATTCTTAAATGATCTTGTAGCTTTTAAAGTGTGGAATGCAACAAAATGGTTTTACACCTTTTACTAATTATCTAATTTCCAGGTTTAATGATTTGGAAGTGGGTCTTGTTCGCAGCTCTCAAACATAATCTTCCTGGCTAAGCACATCCGTATTGTATGGAAGGCAAAAGGAAAACTCATCATCTGTAAGTTAAACACAGCAGAGCTGGGTAGCCGTCTTAAAACATTCATAATTTTAGGTTACCCTATACCAGAGGTGGCCAACTTATTCACATGAAGGAAAACATTTCATATCGGTTGGGAGGCTGAGCAAATTGCAGAACAGTAAGAGTTGCCGCAACAGTAAACGTGAACTTCATCAAAAATATTCAAAGCAATAAATTGAATATCAATAAAAATGATTGTTGAAAAGCGTCAAACAATAAAGCTCAATATTGAAGTTTTTTTGTCTAAGAAGCATAACGAGAGAGAAAAATAAAATCAGCTCCAATTCTTGATCACTAGAGAAAGGGATAGCGACTGAGGCCGAGCTAAGGAAATGGGTTTAGTGGACATTGTCTTTGGGTTGCCTCTGGTAGGGCACACCTTTGGCAGAATTCATATGAAATTGGGGCTTGGAAGTAAGTTGACTTTCAGCACGAGTTTTCTTCTCTAACAGCCTGCTTTCCCTCTCCCACGCTTTTATCCCTTTCTCTCTCTTACCTCTATCACTTTGTTTGTCTTACTCCGTCCTCTTTAACTTCCAGAAAATAATCTTTTGACTTTGAGGCAGAGGCTTGAAATTCTAAAAGTTTCCACCAAGTTGTTAACCCACCAGAAAACATTGTGCATTGAAATTAAAGTGGCTACATTTTATTTCACCAGACTAAAAACAAAACTGTAAAAAGCAGAGATAGTGGGAACTGCCAATGCTGAAGAATCTGAGATAACA